GGTGACTGAAAAGCGAAGAGGGATAAGGATTATAAGAGGATTTTAAGTGGGTGACGGAGGGCTTATGAGATCCCCGATTTACTCTTCGAATAATTGAATTCTTTCCGCGTTCTGGAGTTGAAAAAAAAACTCTTCAAGTAAAACAGGATATCGAGAGATCCTTTTGAGTAATAGACGAGCGAGGAATTAAATTAGACCGCCAATTGCTGCGAGCCACGCAATTAGGAAAATCTTCGCTCCCCAAATCAATATTTTTCCCCAATTTTTCAACAGTAATGAATTCACTTGGTTTTTTTTTATGATGCAATCCGTTTTTTATACTGGTCATTATTTAATTCAGTAGCTTGCGGCTAAAATCCGTGAAAATGAAATTGTCCCCGACAGAGAGTTGTCACTTCTCTCTCGAAATAGTCATTAAAAAAATTCAGGATGCAGGCGGGAAGTCTTTCGACACTTTTTTTTTTCTCTCCCAGCTTTTAATTTATGTTAATTTATATGCGACACCCGGGGAACGGGGGATGACAGTCTTACGTCCATTGCAGAAAAGTTCCTTGTGGGGGACTTTACGCACCAACGCTCGACCTCGTAAATTAAGATCCATTTTGGTCATAAAACCCGGTGAGAGTGAATGCAGAGACGTCGACATTAGAATATAAAATAGGGTACGTACGATAAATCTGGTTATGAAAAAGAAAAATAACGTTCACCGCTCATCCGTCATTCTTCATTCCGCGAAAGGATGACTATCATTATTGCTTTTATACGATTCTCCCGAGAAAATGAAATTCAGTCCTGCAGAAAGAGTCCGCAAAAACAGTTAGCATTTCATTTCGATGCCCAGATATTGCAAAATCACCTGATGACGAGAAATCGCTTGATTCTATGACTACCTTACAATTTGGCCGCCCTATTTCTTCACTGAGAATCTTCAATGGAGCATTCCCCCAAGAAAATTGTACGGAGAATAAATTCATTCAATACAGGTATTACTTTTCCAATCCCCTCGGGCTGGATAAAAAAATGAATAAAAAGTGTATATCAATTACTTGGAGGCTTTTATGGCTTTTATACAAAATCGAATAGCGTAACGGTCGACTCTGAGGGTTTTTCCATCCGCGAAACATCCGCATCGGATATTACTACCGTTCCATTGATCCGCATGTGGTCCTCACTCCCTTCGCAATCCCTTTGAAATGCTTAGTCGACCAATAAAAGGGGAAGAAACGACACAACTGTCCGCCTCTCAATGACCAAGACCACACAGATATGTACCCCATTCCCCACCATCCAATGCCAACTTCATCTGTCCCTCTCACTCGACTAATACTTTATCCCAAAGACGTTGGAGATCCTCTTTTCTACCCGAATCTCACACCGCCAAGTACGTGCCTGGTTTTTCATCGTTGAGACGTGACGCGATATCGCGAAATTGGAATGACTCAGATTTTCTTTTCTCGTCATATTTTAAAAGATATTCATTTATCAGGGAAATTAAATCATTTTATTACAACCGTTTTATTTATACTGAATTTTGCAATTTAGCAGTTCATACCGTGTTGGAGAATTATCCAATTTCGAGCAAGAGAAGCTGTAATAGATCCCCGATTTTTTTTTTGTTTCAAAAAAAAATTTCTGAAAAATTTTCCAGAAATTTTTTGAAAATTTGGAAAAAATATTACGATTACAATTTTTTTTACCCGTATACACCAGAAATAAATTTCCGGAATAGCGCCCTGAGAATGAAGAGGATATTTTGGAGTGTGTAGTTTCAATTCTTTTCTTCTTCAATTGCCTCTTTTATTTAATTTGGTGTTTTGATGGTGTGGGTTTCCACGGGGTCGAGCGGCTCTTCATGCGAGACCCCTATTTTTCTTTCCTTTATGCACCCCGGGTACTTGCTACCCTCCTTTGACTCTTCTCGTCCACTTTTCCACCTTCAGTGTCCCTCCCACTTCTTTTTCCGTATGACCTTTCTGTATTTATTATGGATGTGGTCGTTAACGAAGGGGGCAGCCTCCGAGCAGTCGGCCGATTTTAATTATTCCACTCTGACGGTACCGCTGGTGATTTGCTGAGCACAATGTTCACGGGAAAATACATTCGTTTTATTACTGTGGTAGTACACACCTTCTTCATCAATAATTCTGATTTAATTGAATAATTTAAGAATTATAATTCTATTCCTTCAACGCCAGAATATTCTGTTGTAAGAAGCTTAAGATATGAGGGCGGAGGGAATTTAATCTTAAGTTTTAAATATTCTTCTCTTCTATGCAAATACGGAAAATCGATAAAAGAAAGTACTTTCAATTTTGAGTACTTCAATTGCTCCCCGGAAATTATAAAAAATCAGGAAAATGGGAAAATCTGCGTAAACCTGTTCTCATATTTTAAGAAGTCACGAATCCCTTCAATTCTCTCAAAAACGTCAATTTTCATAACAAATTTCCCTTTAAATTCGCGACATGTATTTTTTCCACGAATATTTCGAAATAATTTCCTTCAAAAAATTCCTAGGTCTGAATAACCATTATAATTTTCCATCACAAGCTAATCCTGACAGTTAATTCTCTAAACTATTGAAACATGAAAATGTAAATTTTCCTTTTATTTTCAATAATTTGATGCTGCAGCCTGTTGAGAAATTAAATAGATAGATCCACCTCGAGCAGAAGAGAATGAAAATTTTTTTATTTCGCTGCTTGAGCGCTATTACCCCGGGGATTTTTTTTTTAAACCAATAAAGTTACACGTTGGATAGAGTTGCTGCACAGGTGGTGCGTCCCACGGTTCTCTGACCAGACGCAAATTAATCATATTTACCCTCGACAAACCTTTATGCGCGTGTATAGCATCCCTCATGAATTATGCACAGTGATTCGCGGTCGTTCAATTTATGCCGTTGAAAAAGGTACGCGGTGTGTATGCAATGTGGAGGCGTCGAGTGGTGTTGGGGTAGAAGAAGTCGGGGGGTTAAAAAAGTGGCGAGAGGGTGAGAAGGGAATCTCACGCGTCTCTCGATTCCTCTGGGCATCGATCTCAGTTCGATCTTCCTTCCAACACGCTTGGGTCTTTTCGAGGCGATCCATCACGTTAAAGGGTGCGCGTCGTCTGTCTAACGTAGAGTCGACGAGTTATACGAGTCAATTTCTGAAGTGAAGGGGGTGGAGAATGCCAAACCCCGTGGCTGTCAGGAATGATCGAACGATTCAAACAAATGTTTTTGGATTTTCTTTGGAGCTCGTTAACGGATCCCGGTATTAAATCGACATTAATACGGGTGAGGGGCTTTTAATTGCCCCGGGGCGGAGAATCGGGGAAAATTATCGGTGAGTGAGGTTCAAGTAACTTTCGCCAATACTTTTTTTTTCTCACTTCGTCACTGAATTGAAAAATATATCCAAGTGTGAATTTTTGGTCAACAAATAGGTCGGGGAGACAAGAGAAAATTGCGATTCGATTTTAACTTTCTAAATTGAAGAGAATTAAATTTTGATGTAGTGTTCATACTAATTTGCGTACAAAGTTTGTTGCTCCGAGTGCCCATCAATATTTTTACTTTCAGTGGATTTTTTTATCCGGGAGACAATTTTCAACAACAGTTGCCAGGTTAATTTGCAGGGTGGGGGGAGAAAATATTAGAGAAATACCTCTCGTCAAGCCGACGAGGGGCGAGCCCTTTGATCGGCTTTTAATCAGCGGAAAACGTGAGTGGTTTCAACCGGTGGAGCTACACCGAAGAGGAAAAAACCAGGTTGGAACCCCAAACAGTTGATTGGCGCGATTCTGTGCTTTGTTTAACGTGCCGCGATGCCAAACTGTACAGCTCGAGGCTAACAACGAAATCAAATGGAAAAAATAAAAGGCGGAAAAAAGGGAAAACCCTCGGTGGTTACGCGTAGAATCCACTGGTGGAATGGATGATTTTCAATTGTCCCCAAGTGGATTGTTCAAACGCTTTCCTAAACGCATACCAATTGTGGAAATTATTTCGTCCACTCACCGGTTTTTCCCTGATTTTTTCAGGAACGCATACGGTACACTAATTGGTTGCACTCTCAAATATTACGAAGAGGTAATACTGTGCAACGAATCAATATTAAAAAATATAGGATTTCGATTTTGGCTTTGGTAAAGATAATGCACTTGATAAGAGAAAATATTCTCTTCTCAATTTAAAAAATCGCAAATTTCCGGATTGTTTATGGAAAAACCGATATTTTATCCTGCTATCACGAAAAAATAATAGTATAACAACTATAAAAAATCGTGGTGTACACGTTATTTTCTGATTTTTAGTGAAATTTTTAAAGTTGATGTAAAAATTTCATGTCAACACGAGAAAAATTTGCGCGTTGAGTTTTAAAATTGCCAGCACCAATGGCGGAGTTTTTCCCTAGCGGGTACTCTGCGCCCCTTTTCCGGTGCAGCATTGGAATTTTTCTAAAGAATTTCCCTCCCCATTGAAAAAAAAAATTCTGTCAAGTTAATATACTTGAGACGATTTAATGTCTGGCTCTAATAAATTTAATTGGCAGAAATAATTTTTTCCCGCAGTCGTGCAGAATTATAATTATTCCCTGGGGTGAATTATACCCTAGCGGGAGTAATCTTTGAATATTTCGCGTGCCAGCCCACTTTTATTCTATCTAACCTGAGAATGAATATTTACTTTCGTTGCAGGATGAATTTCAAATTCTCGAACGATAAAATAATCTATCGAACTCCAGAATGTATTTATTTTTTTAATTGCCAATAAAACTTCTATCATAAAAATCCTATAAAAATATTGTAATTCCGGCGATACTCCGGGCGTTTTTACAACTGCATCAGGATATTATATCTGTTTATCTTTGAAATAACGAAGGAATATTAAACCTCATATTGCCGAATATCAAGGCATGCGAAATGGAATAAAAATTTTCCATTCAGAAATTGATCTATTGACACTAAATTTTTAAATTGACATTTCAATCTGAGCAATTAAAAAATAGACTCACCACTTTATCACCCAGGTTTCTCACACGACAGGGCAGATAAACCGTTTGTCCAACGAATGCGGTGACGTTTATCGCTGTTTGCTCGAAAACCGGAAGATCGCCGATGTCGTGGCCCTCCTGGACATCCTGAGCTCGTTCCCGCCACACAAGTGGATCCTCCAGAGGGGCTGAAAACGATTGATAAAGTCTTCATCAATTCCGATGAAGTAATATCACATTCGTCAAGCTAACGCCCGCCTCGTGGGATATTAGGAGAGACCCTTTCGTCATCGATCATCATCATCGTTGGACATCAGTAGTCCATCGCGACCCTCCATCCCCGTAATGAGGGTGAGGGAATTTTTCTAGGCCGAATATATCTCCGTATACTCAGGACCAAATGAATTGACTTTATTCATCAAACTATGCTGGGAAATGAAAGAGAGAAATGGCAGAATGATAATACCGCAGGGATGAGTGATCAGGAATATAATGATGGACGGTGAACCATAATAAACCACATACAGTCACTCTACAAATCGATGGACACGAGGAAATCAGCGACGAGAGAAAAAATGCTGTATCACGGCTTTTCTCAATGAACATGAATTTATTTCCATTCACTTATCAGAAAATCGGTAATTTTCATTCTTTGTCATTACCGTCCTGGGTGAAAGAAAAAATTGTAATCGGAATATTTTTTCCAAATTTTCAAAAAATGTCGGGAAAACTTTTCAGAAATTATTTTTATTCAACAAAAAAAAAATCGATAAACGACCGGGATAAAGTGAAAATACATGCCATTGCTTTTTCTTTTTCCTTTCGTCTCCATCAATGGAGATTTTAATAATGCAATTAATAATTCGCATTGTCCTGGAAAAATCAGTAATGCCGAATACTTTCCCAACCAAAACCTAAGTTTCCCTGGAATTTAATTAAACCCCAACATATCGATACGCCGGTTACAGCCGCTATTGTAAATTAATAAGAATAGATAAAACTTTAGAAAAACACTGGCCGACGTTTTTTTCACACTGGTGTATGCATTTGATGTTGCACGTATCAAAGTATAACATGGCGAGAAATAAATTCCGCTTCAGTTAGCGAGTAACGAGGCGTACCTGCGAGTAGTTTCATTTGAACTTGGCATGGACTACTCGTTTCCTCGTAAATTCCCATTTTTTTGTCTGCTCGTTTTTCGGCATTTCACTTCTACCCCCGATCCATACAACTCTACCGAAGATGCGAAAAAGAATTTGTCGTATACACCGCGTGAATTGCCCTGTTGTATGCACTCCCACCCACCCGGAGAATTATCCCCCCAATGGAAATAATCTGGGGGGAACCAAAAACCTTCTATGCAGAAGCGTGAAAAATGATAAAGCAAACAGGGAGGCCGTTAATTTCGCCCATGTTATACTCGGCTGAATTACGTCTGTGGATCCCATTTCCTCTTCAAAACAATGAAAAGACAAAAGTTTACAGCCCTGAATCCTATCCAAAAGCGCAAGGGACCGGGAATCATATATTTTAACCAGGCTAGTCATAAAATGCGGTTGAACTATGACGCGGTTGTATAGAACACGACAACTTTCAGACCAGATTTGTACATCGCTCTTCTCCATCTCTTCTACTTTTCCCTAACTCGTATTATCTATTTCATGAGAATGTCGTTAGATCCGCAGCTGGTGACTGTTCTTAAGTGATATTCCGGAGAAACCGCAATTCCACTCTTACATTCCTGTAAATCCTCTCCACAGCCAAAAATTCCCAGCAAAATTCCCAGAAAAATTCCCAGAAAAATTCCCAGGAAAATTCCCCTGACTCTCGGTAATTGCCGAAAATCGGAATAAGAATTAGACAAGTTCGAGTAAAAAGTGGATAGAAAGTTGGAATTATTACTCGGTATTTTTTTATTGCTTTCGTGAGAATTGGCGTAAAATTTTTTGCCTCGTTTTCAATATCGCCGGAATGTTGCATTCTGCGTCGCTGCAAATGTTCTTATAATTTATGATCATGATTGACATTTTTAGTATGCAATTCCATAATGTTGGTGGTATTAAAATTGTTATGCTCTGCATTTTGTGATCCTGAATTTAGTAAGAAGTACACGGGCGTTACTCTTTATATCTAAAATATAAAACTTAACAATTCGCTGGGTAAGCGGAGCTTAACGACGTTGATTTATATTGAAATAGTTTATTGAATTACTGTCTACCTTCAGAACACAATTTCCCATTTTTTAATCATTATAATTATAAAAAAAAATTCTGGAGTTTTCCAGAAACTTTTCGAAAATTTGGAAAAAATATTCCGATTAAAAATTTTTTTTACGCAGGATTCTATTTTTAAAGAAATGAAAAAAAAAATTGGATTATTACACCCCCACTATGATGTACCTAATAAAGTCTATTGTAAATAAATGACAGCTTTCGCGCCAGAAAATGAAAATATTGTCCTGCCAATTTAACTGGCTTCAATAAACTCTGTTGATCGACCAACGTCAATATTCGATTCCATCCCCGACATCCAGCCATCTGTGAAAATAAAATCCCTCAGGAAATAGCCTAGACTGAAAACCGACTCGCACCGATTTTCGGTTAGAGGTCTTCATGCTTTTCTGAATTGTTCCAAAAATCTTTCCCCGTCTGAAAATTCAATTATCTGTCTTCACCTGTAGACTTGATGACATCTGCATTTGACGCGATACTCCTGCGCAATAACGGAAATACGACGAGATGTACAAGATGAAAAAAGTGTAAGATTCTTTTTTTTCACTAATAAAAGTCAACTGGAACGAGTGCATGTGGAGTTGGTGCCACTTCAAACTTCATAAAAACATGGGGAAGGGGGTGGGGGGTGGGGTTGAAAAAAAAAAGAATTGAAAAATGACGAAATGGCGGAGCAGAGAGGGTGAGAAGAAGAGAAAAAGAGAAAAAGAGAAAAATAAGCGCAAGGGCAAAGGAATTCCACGACACGCTTCATCGTGTCGTGGTTCCCCTTTAACTCAACTCACTCATACATTTTTACTCCTCTTGTTATTTACCATTTTCTCGTCATTCTCACTTTTCTGCACAGTTTCAACTTTTTTCTCACTGGTAAGTACATACTTTATTTATAATTGGCGTTATTCCACGTGTACGAGCCATCCACTTTGTGTTGACCTTTCATCATGCTCTTTTTTACACGAGTGTAAAAGTGGGATGAGAAGATGAAAAGGAAAACTCAGAAAAATATGTAAGAGATAGTTTGGCATAAAGCGTCCTGACGATTTGTGGCATTCCTCGTGGATTTTTCAACATTTGTACTCTTGTGAGTAATAAAAAAAAAAGAAATTCCATTCGTGGCAGCTCTTCAAAGACTTGACGAAATTTGATCTGCCTCTGGAGGCTGTGCTATCTCCTTCTTTTCCGGTGATTCAATTTTCTAAATTATTGTTTGAATGGTGGGCGGACAGGGGTCCCCAGGGGATGATTTATTAACCTGTCGTCGGGACCGTTTATATTTTAAATGCGTGAAATATACACTGACGATACGTCAAGACTCTAACACCCACGGGTGATATAAATGGATGGGAAGGAATTGGTTTACACAAATCTGGTAAATGCTGGACGACTTTTCGGTTGGGAACAGGGGAAACACTAGAGCCTGGATAAATAATGGAGGGACACACGCAATGCTCGTTTTCGTTCGGCTAATTTTAGAGAGCAAGCTGAGTTAGAAACTTTTGGAATTCGATGGTATAATCATCAACTCTAATTGATCGTCCGGTACCTGGCAAAAATACTCTAATATATCCTTTAAAAATATAAGACCCTCTGAAAAAAAGAGCGTAAACACAAAATTCATCTGAAATTAATCGCAGTAATTATCAATCATTAATTATTTTTATTTTTATCAGGATCAGGATATCCTCCATCAGTAAATAAAATAAAATTGAAAATACGTTGGGAATTTTTTTTAAATTGCAATTAATTAGTGGATTTCCACAAGTAATGAGGAAAATGCAAACAATTTTCCCTGTGCACGAACTCAAAGCAATTCTTTTCAAGCTCACACATTGATTGCTCCATGAATTCGCCAAACTAGAGTAATTCATCGAATAAACTACACACCAAGTACAGTGCAATGGAGAAAGGAAAAATCACAGAGAGTTGGAGCTGCAAGCGGAAGCGTAAACTCCCCCAAGGGGAGATTAAAAAAAAACCCGCACAAGCGAGGGAATAAAGAAAAACTGGAAAATACCAAAAGTCGAAAGGAAAACGTTCGAAGAGAGGAGGGAAATGAAGTAAAATAAAAATACCGAGGTGAATTGGAGGGTATAAGAGAAAAAGGCATGGGATTACATCGGGAATTCCGAGCGAGAGATCACGAACAGGAAAACATTCGTTTGCTCGGAAACACCCGGAATAACACGAAACTTCTAAATCAACCGGTGCCCAAAGGCTCGGGTCCTGTACATAATGTAATGTCTGTACACATTACATAATTATATAATCACAAGTATTTACTCATCATCAATCACCGAATGGAAAAGCTACGGTTTTCAAGGCCTCCTAACTTTTCTGGATTTTTCTGAATAGCATTGAGTTCGTTTAATAACATTTAATTTTTATATCATCATTAATGGTTTTCCGTATAATTCATTGAATTTAGATAAAAAAGATTGAAATAACCGTCTCGCAATTTTTAGGGCCAGTTTTTCCTCTTTTTTCTTCAAAAAATGAAGCAATAATCCCGGAAAATCAGAGCAACTTTTTTCTGCGGGTGTTTTGCGGGATTTTTCACTCGAGAGCGCCTCTGACTCCGGCTGATGTGAAATCAAATGATATGGAAAACTCTACGGCACTTTAAAAGCTTGAGAAAATGTCCTAAAAAGGAGGAAAAAATGTGAACCAGAGTGACTCAAGATGGATAAAAACTTTGACTTTATTAAACAAAAAGTGGTGGAGTACGTGGTGGAGGATTGGGTACTTATACAGGAGACTGTGTGGATGTCTCCTGCCATCCGGTACGATGCACGGAGAAAACTCTTAGGGCTTTTCAGGGGGATATTAAAATTACCTGACCAGCGACCTTAAACCGCCATCCCTCTGTCGCGTTTTCATATTAAATTCTGGCGGATGCGACTCCATCGTACCCGATCCACCCTTTTTTCCTCTTTTTTTTTCACTTCCGATTGTACGGTAGCGCGCTACTTCCCGGGGAAGAAAGCTCTCTGGTTCCCGGGTTGAGTGGAAAATATTTTCCGAGCTATCTCTTAATCATGATATCAAGTTTTCGTTCAATATTTGATATTTGTTTATTAAATTTCAGGGAGGAAATTCAGCTGCGGATTCTTCGAATCGTTCGGGGATTTAAATTGAATCGTGGAGGGGTCCACGTGGGGGGATCCCTCCCCTCATCGAAGGTGATATTAAACCGGGTATCAGATAATATAAGAGTGAAGTCACCCGGCTGAAAAAATTGTAATCGGAATATTTTTTCTAAATTTTCAAAAAATTTCTGGAAAACCTTTTCAGAAATTTTTTGGAAATCTAAAAATAATATTCCGATTACAATTTTTTTATATCCGGGCAACTACTACAAAATAATGTGTATCCCTATATTTCAGATATTAATTAATTGAAAAGAAACGCGAAAAGAAATTTAAGACGACTCATCGTCTGGCGGTTAATTTCGTTTGTCCACACGCGAGAGACATGCAAATCTGGAAATTTTCGAGGCACCCATGTGCCTTAACCACGACAAAGTAAAAAGATAGAAGAGTAGAATGGGATCAGACGATTCACCGAGTCGTTATAAGGTATACGGTAGTACGTGCACCAGTTACCAACGGTCCAAAGTAGTTCTGGCCTGTATGGGCTAGACGAGTAAAACTTTCGCCAAAATCCCATCCCCTACCTTTCACTCTACCTCATCCACGGAAAGTCCAGGGAAACACTGTATGCTATATGCCATACTCCAACAGTTTTCGGTGGGAAAAAGCCACTTGTATATACCCCCATGGGTTATGGTCTCTCTGTGACTCACATAGATACTCGCGACGCGTTTCAAATTTTCGGGATAAAAGTTTTTGACAGTGTGATATCAATGTGGGTATATAATCCCGTGGATTTCAAAAGAATTTTATTTTCATTCAGCGTTCTGATTCGATGGGTTACGTGCGTCGAATTGATAATAAACATCGCGTCATTCACTTTTTTCAGAGGCTAAATGCAGGTGTTATTATGGCCTTCCCAAATTTGTCCTTTTTCAATAGAGAGAGTAATTAATTGAAATGGAATGATGGATTACGTGGCAACATCAGCGATTGATCGATGCAACGGCTCAATGCATTGAATTCTATTTTCCCTCCATTTTTATTTATTCGGATGGATTTTATGCCGTACTCGAAAAAAAATTGAGAAATCCTTTTCAGCTATTCCGCTTTACTCCATTAAATTGTTAATCATTGAATTTAATTAGAGGAGAAATCGATAGGAAAATTGTAAAATGCTTGAAGTCGAAAAAAGTGGATTTAGAGTATTCCCTGAAATTTCCTTGTTTTTATTAATTCTTTCACGATTCTTACAATTTTTCTCATTTTCAAATGATTATATGAACGGGTTAAATTCATTTTACGGTGGATAATTGTACTTTCTTCCGAGGACAATGGCGATAAAAGTAAAATGAGATTGAAGAGTGCGGAATTACGTAGACGAGATTAGTGAGTACTCCCGTGAATCATTCTATGAGCATAAATTAGCGCCCCGTCACAACGCCGGTTAATTAATTAAGCCAAATTGTCCTAAGCGTGAGTAACTGCTGCTGCTCAGGATACCACGTAAGGCTTCAACACCGGTCTCATTTTCATATCACCGATTAAACTTTTTCCTCATTTAAAAAAAAATATCCGGTGTTACATCTCGCGTGATGAGAGTACATCCCATTTATCAGCCAACGTAACCATCAATTAAAAAATGTTTCCCCCAGTCCGCGAAAGATTTTCTTCGTCCTCTAGTATTTTTTCTTAAAATCAACAATTTTCTGGGTGAATCAATAAAAAAAAAAGCCACAACTTCAAAGAGATCTTTCAATATTAAATGAGAAATAATATATGTCCAATGAATATTTATTTGAACATCCGGACGTGCATTTCTCTCCAATTCCCGAGAATTAGTTTCACGTTCCCTTTTAGCTATTTCGTCCCGTAATTTTTCGCCCCGCTATTTCTGCAGATGAATTCAGCGGCATTAAAAAAAAATAGTACATTCAAAAGGAATACGAGAATCGAGAACCCCGGGGCCCGTGAAGTCGGCAATTAGACGTGGAATTTTCAGCATCCATCACCCCTAGAGTCCCTTCAAAGCTTCAGACATCACCCACCGGTCTGTGACGAAGGAGAAGATGCTTTTTCGTCGGAGGGCAATGGAAGGGAGAAGGGAGGGGTTGGGTTAAAATCGGTACACAAGATGTTGTGTGCACACTAACACCGAGGAGACCCTTGTAAATAGAAGAGAATGAACTGTCTGCTCTGTGTACACTGTATTTGCAAGAAATGGCAGGAAGAGCATGAATTAGTTTAATTTCTCGGTGGCATACTATGGACACGAGTATTGTGATTAACTTTCTATGATTCTATTAATTCCACTCCTTTCGTGTAATCCGGTGAATTCCTTGATTGACTACTTTGCGGTGTTGCGCCGTCTGAATTCATTCACCAGGAAAACAGACGGAATTTGATAATTTGCGCGGGCAATTTTTTTTTTTGTTATCCATTTTTTTTATCAGCCGAACGTTAATCTTTCATATATTCGCTCCCTAGGGGATATTGAAATGATCATACCCGACGGCGGTACAACAATAAAACATCTCTGACTTTTGCAGGAGGAAATTGACTTTTTTCCAAAAATCTACCTCATGGAAAAATTTATATGCAAATAATTATGTATGACATGGACCTGATATACCGCATTTTTCTAGCCTCTAGATCCCGGCTAAAAAAAAATTGTAATCGTAATATTTTTTCAAATTTTTTTTTGTTTCAAAAAAAAAATTTCGGAAAAGTTTTCCAGAAATTTTTTGAAAATTTGGAATACAAAATATTCCGATTACATTTTTATTTACCTGGTATCATACACCCGGAGACACGTTTTTTTTTCGATTTTTTTCTCAGACAATTCGGTTGGCGACTTGAAGAACGAAAATATATCCGGAAGTAGTGCAACCCCGCCGGAAATGAGGGCCTGGGGGACGTCTTGGTACATGCAATTACAAATAAAAAAAAAAAAACGATACGAACCAGATATCGAAGTGTTTGGATGAATAACGAAGAATGCTACGATGACAATATAAATTCGTGACGTCATCTGGCTGAGGTCCAATTCTGTAGCACTCGGTAGGCCACCGATTCTTGGCCCCTTCATCGTACTGCATAGTTTTCGTTCCTGACACGTGAATGTTCGAGTCGTTACACCCGGCAAATTAGATGGACACCGTAGATTTTAATAAACACTTCCTTCCTCTTTCAAATTCACTACACATGAACGCACTGTAACCCGTTGCGCAATCACTCTGGGCACTCATCCAAATTCTTGATCGACACCGATTTATCCCCCTGGAATGTTTTGTTTATTTCCACTGATGAAAACCAAATCGTTTTATTTTCCCCTTCGCAATGGCCTTGCTTCCATTACAAGATACATCGATGTACTTTCCGTTTGCGTCACTCCAGGTAGTATCTCATTCGTAAATGCTCACCATCAAAATCATCTCTCTAATCCCCACTTTATATTTTTATTTCTGTCACAGGTTTTGATGATAGAAGTCTCCGATCAAAGGCCGACGGGAAATTTATCCGCACTTTGTCACTGAAAAGAAAATAATTTTTTTTTAACTCAAGTGATTCTTCAATAAAATACTCCATCCCTCGATTTAATCATTCCGTGAGGATTATAATAAATTTTGTAATGCAAATACTTCATGGTTCTCTCCGAGATTTTGCCCGGTTCAAAAATTCCCCTAGGATTATATTCCGGATCTACACCAAGGCAATATCTTTTTTTCACGTTGAGTTCCTCGTGAGCTGACACTGATACCTGAGACAATGAGTGAGAGAGTGAATGAGAAATGGTGGAGATGAAAAATACATTTTCGTAGCGGAGAAGAAGGAATAACTAAAAATAAAAATATCGAGAGGGTCGGGGGTGTAATCAATCATGTAGAAACTAGCGATGATAATCCCTGGTGATAACAGCACGCCCGCGTGCGAGATATGATCCCCATTTATGACACGGGGAAAGGGGGTAACGTGCAGTTCGGGGGTGTCAGGGGGTGAAAACTGAAAAATCGCGTCGGGTCCGGGGCAGTCGCTGACAAATGAACAGAGTGAACCCGAGAGGGGCCTCTTCTACCCATTCCCTTCTCGCTTACTCCAGTTATAAATTCTAAAAAATGTTTAGAAAAAAGGAATACAGATGAATGGACATGGTTGGGCGAGGGGAAGATTGAAAAATCACGTTAATTGCCATTGTCGGCCGATAAATTAACTCCCGGGGCTTCTTCGTGTCTCTGGGGGCTTCAGAGATGAATATACACTGCACCGAGAAAAATTTATTATGAAATTTGCTCTGACGTTTAGTAATTTTTGCGCTGAGACACCCGTGTAAAAAAAATTGTAATCGAAATATTTTTTCCAAATTTTCAAAAAATTTCTGGATAACTTTTCAGAAAATTTTTCCAGAATTTTTTTGACATTTTGGAACAAAAAATATTCCGATTACAATTTTCTTTTACCCGGGCATTTTCACCTCAATATTTCCTTCTGCAAACTACTATATTTATCGTGAAATTATTTTTAAGACTTGTAATTAAAAAAATGGATTTTTGGAATTGAAAAAATTTCTGTTTTCGCACTTTACGCGATCTTGCTCGGCTTCCAGTTCCATATTCAATCTTTTGAATAAAGCCATTAATTAATTTCTGATTTAGTTGAGTAGCCGTCTCTTTCCCCCATCAGCATCTTAATCACTAAAACTGATTATTCCATCAACAGCAGCGTTCATAATGACGCTTGAAACACGTCCTGCATTTAATTAATTCCTCCAGCATCTTCTATTACTCTCCTGTCGTCGTGATATATTCAAAGAACTCAGTCCTGTCGAAACATCGTCAACCTGACACTAATGTGAATTGCAATGCCATGAGAAAATACGTAATTACAGCGCTACCTTAATTAATGCCTTTTGAAGCTCGTCCGCATTCATCATTTCCGAAAAACAGACAGACTGAAGTCTTTTAAATCATCATCATTACTCGCAGCTTCAAACAATTCAATCATTCAAAAAATTACATTCTCATTTGCAAAAGGGTCGCAATTAAAAGAAAATATTTATCTTTCACCGCAAATAGAACAAGTGCATTTTTTGACTTCCAGTTTTTATCGAATATCTTGAAATTGAAAATAGATAGAAATATTTTCATGACTACCTTTTTCATAGCTCTCCCTTTTCTCTATAAAAAATCTAGAAACAATAATATCGCTGCAGTCCTTTAATTCCAAGATACCAGCCAAAAACGGGTGTGGAAAAAATCCAGTGTACGATCATTCGAGTTCTGAATTTTTATTTCCAGTCTTGAATAAATATTTCGATTAAAAAATTATGAAGCTGCAGGGGTAAAAAAATGAATTTAACTAGTTTGTTGGAGGTAGTGAAGCGATGGAAACACGGTAAAAGCGTTAATTAATAATACTGGGCTGAAAAGCCACAGAGAAGAGGAAAATGCTGGCAGGTGCAAGGCCCTACAAGCTTCAGTGGTGTACCTCCGTTACGGTCTATTTATAGGGAAATTCGTACATACAATGGCCGAGTTATCCTTCGGTTTTCCAACCTCTCCCCTCTCATGTTTTCATGAAGTTACTTCATTTACTGATTATCTAATTTTCAGTTCACATCTCTGTAGGATGTTCACAGCTTTTGTTTCCTGGATATTTAATAATAATAATTATTTTCATTATTATTCATCCACTGAATGCGATGAATTGATAAGAGTGTCCCGGGTAAAAAAAATTGTAATCGGAATATTCTCAAAAAAAACGTCATCTAAATTATAAAAAAAATTTTCTGAAAA